ATTATGTTTTCATGTCTTACACTGACCGATGTCTCCCTTCACCCACTTTTCTGTTGTCCTGTCCTCTGGGAGGGGGTTATATGTAGAATCATTGTGATCGGCTCCCCCTTTCTTCCCCAGACCTTCCGCTTCCCGCCTGGTATCGCTACTTTCGATATCAGCCCTCAGGGGCTTACCTGTCCCTGTTCATGGTGTTTAACTCTCCCGTTGGGTGTCTTCCCCAGGTTGGCCCACACCCACCAGATCCTCTTTGATTTCTCCAACCCTAAGCTTTTCCTGTGTTAGCCTCAGTCCCTGGCACAGAGTCAAGTCTGACTCCTAGTGACCCTATGGGACAGGGCGGGACCTCTCCTGTGGGTATCCGAGACTGTAACTCTTTACGGAATGTGCTTTGTCTTTTCTTTCTGTGGAGTATTAGGTGGTTTCGAACTGCTGACCTCATAGTTATCAGCCCAACGCAAAAACCCACTACGCCACCGCAGTCACTTTTCATTAGCCTTGAAGAGAAAATGTCTCACGTGGCCTCATTCGCCCTGTGTTTTGGATACAACCTGTCCCATGTGATGGAGAAGGTGAGAACACTGGGGTATAGGCGCTCTCCCGGGATTCCCCCAGCCCCACCCTTGGGGGGTGAAGGGGGATCTGTTTCCCACATACCCTCCTCTGCCCCAGGTTGGGTACAGTGTGGCCAGGCTGTTCTAACCCTTGGTCAGACCACTGGGAGGAGCAGTAAACCAGGCTGGCTGGGGGAAAGCCTTGTGGCTTTCAGTGGCTCATCCCAGGGTCTCCACGTGGGCCAAAGTGGAATGAAGAAATGCTATCAAGCTGGTTTGGAGTTCTTGTTCTAGAAAACTGCATTACTTGTCTTCCGAAGCAGGCGAGGGCAAATACTTACAGATGGGGCCCAGCTCTGGCAGGCAGTCAAATGCACACACCCCAGTGGTCCCCAGTGTTGCACAAACCTGGTGGGACAAAGGCACATTAAAGTGAGAGCCTCCACGTGTGGCCTGAGATAAAAAGATCTACCCACAGATAGGACCGCGTCACCCACACGCTCATGCTGGATTTCATCACAGCTAAGTTGAAGCCATCCTTTTTAGATTGCAACCGAGTTCATATATATATGCAAGTTCATGTGTATTGGAGATAACATGTTGAAGAAGCGATCTATATCCTGAGGGTTTCTAATCTTATAAAAAGAGTTGCCATCCTGGAAACCCGTAGGGGCAATCCTACCCTCTCTTACAGGGTTGCTGTGAGTCAGAGTTGACTAGATGGCTGTGAGTTTGGTTTGGGTTAATACATATCCTGGCTACATGAACGTACTCTAATTGTGTGTGTGTGTGTGTATGTGTGTGTGTGTGTGTGTGTGTGTGTCACAAAGTGTGAACCCAGACATCAGTAAACAGCAAGCTCATCCTTTGTAAAACACTGTATTGGAGCCCTTCCTGGTTTTGTTTGCCGTGTGTCACATACCTGAATTCTGCCTAATGCCCCCCCCTCCCCCCACCGTCCCCTCCAAATTTACTCCATGCTTCCGAAGACTTCCTGACTTACAAAGACGGGCACCAAGCCCCGCTCTTTGTCCTCCTCGATGGCTTTCTGCAGAGTTTCACCTCGGAGGGAGAAGTTGTCATCCACAGGCAGAAACCGCATCTTCACAAGGGAAATTAGACCAGCCTTTTCCACGGAGGAGTGGGCCTATTAGGACCATAGAAACCTATTAGCTAGCAGTTGTCCTGAGGGGGGTGCTCCCCAGAAACGGCTGGTGCGTCCCACTCAGGGAACTAAACACAAAACGTTTGGATTTGGCCTTGCCTCATAGTTCCTGGGGGAGCTTCTGAGTGATGCAAGGGGGAGGCATCCTTAGCCATTGACAGAAGGTTGGAGGTTCAAGTCCACACAGGTATGCCTTGGCTGAAAGGCCTGGGGGTCTACTTACACAAAAATCAGCCATTGAGAACCCTATGCAGCACAGTTTTATTTAGGCATGGCGGGGGGGTGTCACTGTGAGCTGAGGGGGGGTTAGTCACTTGTTTGTTTTTATAGACAAACCTCCAAAACTTGAACTTTGAACTGCCCTGAGCCCTAGCATAATCACGTCTAGAACAAAATTGCTCCAAGACTGCAGACTTCAGAAGCCAAAGGGCTTCAGAATCCAGGGCTACCGTGAGGTTTGTCCTGTGCTGGGCACTTACCTGATCAGAGGCATAGGCAACAAGGCGGGCATTCAGCGAGGATTCAGCCACCTCGGGCTCAGATGTCTTCATTTCCAGGATCTGGTTCTTCCTGGCCGCCAGCAAAGCTATCAAGGTTGATTCACTGACTGTGCTCTGTAAGGAAGCAGGGTAATTAACAGCAGCCACGCTCTCTGCTTGCTCTCAGGTGCTTTGTCGGGGGTCGGGGGAACGGGACCTGTAATAAGCATTCCTGAAAGGTACACACTCCAGCCTAAAGACCCATCTTTCCTCCCTAGTCTACACTCCGCCGTCACAGAGCCCTGTGGAGCCGTGCACACGTGTGTCTAATTTTCCAGGAAAGTAATGGAAGCAACGTTTAACCTCATATCAAACAGGCCCCAGAGACCAACAAGAGAATGGCCAGTTTCTAGCAGACACAAGTTTGTTTTCCATTAAAAAAATGGTTTCCTTTCAAAGAAAGACCTCTCCATTTATAAACTACGAAAATAGAATTTGGCTGGAGTTCAGTCCTCGTTTTGTGACTGTTGGCACTTCTCCCCAAGGTGGGAGTGTCATTTTTTAGAGGGGGGATCGGACACTGAAGGTCCACAACGTGCAATCATTTGTGCTTTGGTGGGAGGTTCCAGTTCTAATCTTGCTGCGAGGCTGCTGTGAGAGTGAGTCGTGGTGAGTGAGGTGCCTCAGCACAGGATAAGATTCGTGTTGCTAATCTCTCACCCTGCACGGGATCACCTGGCTCCAGAGGGGGCGAGTATGTTGTCCACTCACTTTCCCTCTCTTACCGTGAGGTCTAAGATGAGACAAGTGGGAGGAGGCGTCGGATTACAAACTAAGAATCAATTACAGGCTCCAAATCCGAATGGAGGGATAATGGAAATAGGATCATGTAGTGACATGTTTGCTTTTTTTTTAAAGACGAGAGAAAGGAAGCGGTGGTGTGGCAGCAGCAGTCAGGGTGGTAACGGCAGCAGTGATGGGAGTAGTGTCAGTGGCCAAGGAGGTGGCTATGGTGATGGTGTTGCTGGTGTTGCTGATATCAGCCAAGGTGGTGACAGGGCGATAATGGGGTTGGTGATGGTGGTGCTGGTGTTGGTGGTATTGGCCATGGTGGTGATGGGATAATGATGGTGATGGTGATGGTGATGGTGATGATCATGGTGGTGGTGGTGCTGGTGTTGGTGGGATTGGCCATGGTGGTGATGGGATAATGATGGTGATGGTGATGGTGATGGTGATGATCATGGTGGTGCTGGTGGTGCTGGTATTGGTGATATTGGCCATGGTGGTGATGGGATAATGATGGTGATGTTGATGATCATGGTGGTGCTGGTGTTGGTGGGATTGGCCATGGTGGTGATGAGATAATAATGGTCATGGTCATGGTGGTGATGGTGGTGGCATCAGCCAGTGGTGATAGGGTGATAATGGTGCTGGTGGTGCTGGTGGTGGTGATGTCAATCATGAAAGTGACGGGGGTGATGACGGCAATGGTGTTTGCAGTGATGGTAGTGTATGTGTGCAGCATGGGGAAAATCAAGTGCTAGCAGGAGAATCGCCAGCAAGTTTGGGGTCCTGAAGCCCTATGCCATAACACAGTAGAACATTCCCATGGAGGTACCTGCAGCACGCCTCCTCCCTGGCTGCCAGGATGGTGGTGTAGAAAGTGCTCTGGGAGGCCCAGCATTTTCGCCAGCCAGTCCATGACATTCATCTCCAGTTCTGTGCACACAGGGCTGGAAGCCTGAGAGATGGAGAGGGTGGGAGGGAATCATCAGGGTAGCCCAGAGCCACTAAGACCCCTTCCACCTCCCTCAGCCCCAGACCACATCCGTCTCTTCCCTGGGTCCCCCGACCCTGACAGTGCCCAGGGAATCTATCATCTCCCAGGAGAAGTGGTCAGGTCCACACTCTGCACCCACCCCACTCCATTCTTTGCCAAACCAAAAAAGAGAAAGAATTTATAAAGAAATCATTCTAGAAATGATTGCCTTGGACTCAGCTCCCCAAGTCCTCCAAATATCTAGCTAAAAGCACTTGGAAGCCTAGAGGGAGGGGGAGTTTGAGGGCTAAGAATTCAGAAAGCA